TCAAATAATTTTCAAAAAACCCTTTTCGATGTCACTACTAACCTTAGATTTATCTGTGAAGGGCTTTTGATGTGTTGCGTTCGTTCATATACATAATCAGAATAGAGATAAGTTAAATCCACAAGTAATAAAATGTATTTTTTAAGATATTTTCCTACACAAAAAGGGTATAAATGTTTTGATCTTAATAGAAAAAAATATTTTGTCACAATGGATGTTATATTCTTTGAATTCCAAAGTTTTTTTAGTCCTTTTTTTTGGGGGCGAGGGGGGGGAGAGGAAGGAAATGAAGACTCGGTATTTGAAAAAGAAAAGATTAAAAAAAATTCTGATGGTTACACAAATAATGAAACTACGACATTTTTAATCTTGATATTCTAGATAAGGAAAATACGAGGTCCACCTTAGTATCTGAACACAAAAAAGATACTAGGAAAATGGATTATACACGCTTCAATGATGAAAGGTTGTTCGAAAAAACTTACAATAAAAAAAAATCCGATTTAAAGTAAGAAAGATGCAGCTATATCTCCTCAAAACCAAGAATATGATCTTATATCATGATCCGAAGAATTAAGTATAATCTCTAAGTCTGTAGAATCTAAGTTTTTTTCCATTCAACAAGTGCATTCTGACCCTCTAGATCTCCCTATTGCTCTTAGAAAAAGAACCCGATCATGTATTCAACACTCTTTATCAAATTTTGTGTTTTATAAGAAATTATCATCTTCTTACCATACTTTTGTTTCACAATTGTCAAATGTGAATATACCTAAGTATATGTAGGATGTATTAAAGGTTTCTAAATGAAAAAAGGTTGTCCTTGAAGAAATAGAGGCTCTAGAGAAGAATGATATGTGGGAGATGACTGGTTTGCCAAAAAGAAAATTAATTGTTGGGTGCAAGTGGATTTTCACTGCAAACTTCAACTCAGATGAATCCTTGGAACGTTATAAAGAAAGGTTGGTAGCCGAAGGATTTATGCAGACATATAGAGTTGACTATCAGGAGACGTTTGCCCCTGTTGCAAATGTTTTTTATAGCTGTGAATTTAGAGTGGCTACTATTTCAATTGGATGTTAAAAATGCATTTTTTAATGAAGAACTAGAAGAGAAAGTCTATATGGATGCGCAACATGGCTTTGAAGAGAAGTTTAGAAGGAAAATCTGTAAGTTGAAAAAATCATTATATGAACTAAAGCTGTCTCCCTGAGCTTGGTTCGAGAGATTTACCAGATTTGTTAAAAATGAATAGTATAGTAAAGGATAATCTGATCATGTAATGTTTGTGAAATACACTGGTGATGGAAGGATGACTGTCTTGATTGCATACATGGATGATATAATACTTACTGGGAATGATAATGATGAGATCTATAGGTTGAAAAAACATCTTGCCTCAAATTTGAAATTAAAGATTTGAGTCCTTATGCTACTTCTTGAGTATGA